GAGAAACTGCGCTTCAAAAGATTTAAGGCCCATTCACATTGCAAACATAAACATAAGCATGACGCTAACATAAAGTTCGGACTACGTCCATAAGCGGACTCATTCTCAATGCGTTCGCATAAGCATAACACGTAAGACGTTAACTTAAAAGCTTGCTAGTTTCAAGCGTCTGTGCTTATGCTTAAGTACGACATAAGAAAGAAACAAATCACAGTACGTTAACTCCAAATCGAGAATCGAAATAGGATCGAAGTCGATAGACGAACTAGCGCTTTATGGGTCATGGACAGTCGATACCTCGAAATCAGTTCTCAATCCAACGAATTGTAAACTAGAATGTCTCACAGCCAATAGAAACTCTTATTTTGCTTACGTTCATGTTACACATTGTGAATATTTCGGTCTACCACACAACTTACCGTTTACGTACATGAGTTATGCTCATGTTTACGTTAACGTTTATGTTTGAATGGGCCTTTACGCTATGTACAAGCAGCTCCAGTTGTACAACGTATTTAATAAGATAGTGCACTATCGTAGCTTTGCGAATACACGCATTTTTAATAGGACCAGCAAATCCATATATAGATTTCTAAATGATAGAAGTTTCTATAAAATGTGAAACAACGGCAATCTGTAACTAATGGTATAATTATTTGTGTGCGATGACTTGAGATTCTACAATTGTTTTATCAGAAAACTGAAACGGATGTGTTTAAAATGCCATTGGAAAACAGTTTGAATGTTGAAAAAACGAAATATATTATGTAATATTTGAATGTCAATTTGGTGTGCAACAATGTACAGCATCGAAATAATGTGTTCAATAAATAATACCATATGTGGACCACTCGTTGAATGTTCGTGCATGAAAATAAATTTGTTACTTTTCTAATAATTACTACATTTACAAAAATCATCGCTACAGAAATGTCAGGTAATCTGAACTACGGCAATGGATCGTATAAATTATGTTTGAGTTTCAGTATTTATTCTAAACACTTGTTTGCAATGTATTTTTCCTCTTCCTCTATTTCTCCTCGTAAACTTTTAAGAGATTTAATATTAATCTTTTAGAGTGCTTAAAAAAGGAAAGTGCCAGGTCCGACAATTGCCTTAGGTACAATCATATACTCTGGTGGTCGGCAGACCTCGAGAAACTCATCACGCAATTGTGTTTTGTAGATCGCGTTCTGATGAAGTCACAGATTTTGTGTACCTGCCAGGCCCAAACAAGTGTGAGTGGTCTAATCCAGAGACAAACGTACAATATTTAACTTCATACATTTTCTACTCCGAGTTCTCTGGGAAAAATTGATCACTTTCGAGCCATGTACAAGCTTCAGAAATCATCATTTCTTCTGAGACACTCATACAATTCCCCTATACAAATTGCGATGTATACATCAATAACATTTACTATTTGTAAATTTCAAAAAGGTATGACAACCTAATACAGAATATCGTGTTTTTGAAAGTATTTTCAACAAATATTACGAAAATGATAATAACATAGGATATTGCCACATTTGAGTAAAGATATGCATCAATTAATACGAGAAACACTAGGGTTAACACAAAGCACGTGTTATACGGTATTTGAGCAGGAATTTTCAATTGATTGATATTTTGTGTTTTCGGGATGTCCGTTCATCCCCTAACTGAAGTGCATGTTATATGCCGGGAGGTGCCGGTGTACCACGCCTGCTAGAAAGAGATCCTCCTACACTTTGGCTTGCGGGTGGGGGTGTTCCCTCCTCCAGGTATCTGTCAGCAGGGTGCTGCCCCTACCGGGGTGAGCTGGAAGCTCTGGACTGGTCTCCTTGATGAATGGGAATGTAATGCAAGTGTATATCTGAGGGGAGTGAAGGGGACAAAGATGGGGAAGGAAAAATCGCGCCGTCCGCAACAATTCTCCTGTACACAGCGACTGAATACGGTCGAGGTGTTTTGCAAGTGCGCGCAACAGTCAAGACTTGAACTCTAGAACGTCCCAGTCAGGTACACGCTGCAGAGTCAACAGCTGACGCCTTGAGCCGCTTTCAGCGCCTAGTCCTAGTTGGTTGGTTGATATTCATTCCGGGCACGTCAGCTAACGAAGTCACTTGTCCCGTACGTGTAGTGCACGTTCCCTCTCTCGAGAGGTGGCGGAGATATCTCCCGCTGAATGGCGACAACCGGCGTCGACCTACAGTCGGCTATCCGAGTTTCCCACAACCAGGTATCTCCCACCAGCGAGCACCGCCCTACACGGGATAAGCTCTAATCTCCTAACCGGTCTCCCGGCATGTGTGGTAGTGTAGAGCATGTTAGTGTAAGTGTGTATAAGGGGTGAGGATAGGGAAAGGAAGAGGAAGGAAAGATCGCGCGCCGTCCGTGGTCCGTTTGTTAGAGTACAACTCCGGCATCCGCCTGGTGTTGATCGAAAAAATCACGGAAAACTACCGATCGGAGCAGCCGGCCACTACAATTCTCTTCTAGCCGATTTCTAGAAGGTTGT